GTATTTCATTGACTGTTAAATTTTATTATACTTTTATTAAATTGGCTTCTAAGTTATCGTAGCTTAATAAACGAATTTGAAGCATATATGTAAATGTAAAATTTCGAAGAATTGACTTACTATTTTATATTTTCTGTATGTATTATAATAAAAGATAAGCAAACAAACAAGAGTTTTTTTTTTTTTTTTATGGTAAATTCATCATTCATTATAAAAATAGCAAAAAATTATATTAAAATACGAATAATATTGGATCATGCTATTATTGGATCAAGAAATGCTCGAGCGAAAATCAGCCTAAGTTGGTGAAAAGAAGTCTTGTGACCTTGAAACGGTAGGTACATACCACCTCCCACAAATAGCTTAGCGTAAAACCTCCACGAAAAAGAAATTGCATTTCTTTGCACTTGCTTCACGGCAGAAATAGGCAGGGTGGTGGTACCTACCCGTGCGGACTCACAAGACGTCTTACCACCAGTAAAAACTTTATTCAGTCACCATTTATTCTCTCATCGTGACTGAGCACGTGCTCGCCTGTCTGTCCTGGTAAAACTGGAAAGGCCATCAAAAATCCTATAATAATAAAAAAATACATTTATTCCGTAATGTTGCCTGCAATCAGTTTGACAAATAGAAAACACTCGTGTTCCATACTGATTGAGTTTCGAACCAAGTGAATTATAGCATATTATTTTAATGTTCGCTTTGTTTTTGCAAATATGTTGCGATTATTAATGGTATTTAATTTATTTCGATACGTGAATAAATAATTAAACACACAATGGCAATTAAATTCATTTGACTAAAGAGAAATAGTTTTTCTAAAAGCCTCAAATCTCAACATTTTAATAATTGTATTATTACTATTCTCATATTCTAATGTCTTTTAATATGAGAATTATAGTGTTTGCAATGAAAAAATTACTATACATACTAATGGTATTTTGGTGGTTGAAATTCGACGGTAATTTAACATTAATTTTTTTTCCAGTGCATAAATGTAAACAATTAATTTAATGATTTTAGCGCAATTAATTTAACGATTGTATATGTTTCGTGTGTTTCGTTTGACTTCGACCACGTGTCCCAAAGTGGATGGAGGAAAAACATATTAAATGTATAAACGTTATATGAATGTGAATTCGAATGTATATCAAATTTAACACTCTGTGAGCGCAATACCCTTAATAAGGTGTACACAGTTTTCTTCCCACGTGTTATCATTATAACAATAAATAATTGACAATCCGACATCACCGATAAACGAGTATCATAAATGGTCATACCCTTGGTCCCTTGAACTCGGCCGTTCTGTAGCACATACGCATCAATAGATTCCATCATTGAAACTATATTACTAGCGAGTAGTAATACCTCAATGAATTCCGTTTCCTTTAAACGTCTTTTTGAATATCAATGAGACTTCTCGACTAACCGGAACTCGTCTGTGGTTGATCATATTCAATTATTTATAACTTGTAAATTTAGGCTTCCTTTCGGAGCTAGTAGAGGCCGAATTAAAAATAACTTCATCATCATCATCATCTCAGCCTGTCCATTGTCCACTGCTGAACATAGGCCTCTCCAAGTGATCTCCAGTGCGGCCGGTCCGTTGACACCTGCATCCAACGTGACCCAGCGGTTCTTACCAGGTCGTCGGTCCATTTCGTAAGAAGGTATTATTATCTTAGTAAGTAATATTGCCATAAAATTTTACCTGGACGAAATCGCTTTAGGCGATAAAGCCTCCCGTTGTAAATCTTTGTTAATCATTGTGTACCTACATTATTTTAGTAACTTTGACTCGTAGCGTCCAATTTTCTATTATGCTATAACTTTTCTAATACCAATAAAAATGTATGTTGTAAAATAAATGTAAAATAATATATCATGTATACATTCTCAAAAATCACTAAGATCGGTTAAGAGTGTACGAATAAGAATAAAAACAGAAGATAGTCTCAGAATTGCACGTCAGGTATTTTATTATTAAATTTAGAAGTGCTTGAATAAACTGTTATGTCTTTATTGAAGTATCAAAAATACTAGACCGAGCGACTGAGTAGATGACCGAGTTTTGATCGGGTTTTTTTTTTGGTAACGCCATCTTGTCATGTCTTTAAAGTGGTTACTTGCCCTCAATTAAGAAAAATAGTATTATTATTCGGCAATAGATGTCGGGAAGAGTTGATTATTGAAAACACGAATAAAACAACATTTTCTGAAAATAAATCGTAGCTAGATCGATTTATCGCCCCCGAAATCCCCTGTATGCTAAATTTTATGAAAATCGTTGGAGCAGTTTCCGAGATTCAGATTATATATATATTAATATACAAGAATTGCTCGTTTAAAGGTATAAGATATTTGATAATCTGTTGCTGCCTTTTAGTTTAAGTTAAAACTCCACCCAGTTTGTATTGTATTAATTGTTTGTAATACTGTTTTAAGCGTTTCAAAACAACATTCTGTACGGTTCTTCTTCTTCTTCTTCTTCTCTGTCGTTTCCTCATTACTGAGGGTCGTGACCACCTTGGTCCAGTTTTTGCACCAGCTTCCTCCAATGCTGCCTGCATTCGCCCTGCTTAATGGCGCCAGGGACGCTGGTGTTTGTGGCCTCTTTGATCATGTCCGTCCACCTGGTTGGCAATCTTCCTCGACTTCTCTTTCCTTCCACGTGACCTATAACTACGTACGGTTAGGAGATCGCAAATAAAGAAGATAGAAATCTTTAAATATCCTGAACATTGTGAGAAAATATATAAAGGTTATAGTTTTTTCTTTTATGATAAAGAAAAATACGAAATGCAACACGAACAGATATCACCATATACAATTATAAATCTCATGCTCTCCGGATTTGTTGCTAACAAAGGCGTTCTTTGTACAGTCTGTACAAAAAATCCGAGAGTGGAGATTTGTTCTTTGTACTTAGCGTTAGAACGTACACTGCAGATATATTGTCGTATTTCAAGCTCCGTTGAAGATGATAAGGAACATTTGTTTTCATTTATTTACGATAATTTTGTATCCGAAGCAAAAAATGAAAGTGAACTTTGCAACTTAATTGACATTTTAGTTATAACGATAATGGAATTAAACAATATCATATCCATTATTAAAATAAGAATGTTTATGTTTGATAACGACCCACAAAGTAGCCACCGAAAGAGAATCTTTTAATGTTAGTAAAGTGGTTACGATAAATTCGTTGTTCCATTACTTTGTATTTTCTGACGGAACTCGCTCCTGAGGGATTCCGCAGAAATCAATTTGTACCGTCTTGTCGTCATGTAAAATAAAAGGATATAAAAGGAAGCTTCAACAAATGTGTTCCGAAGATAAATAATAACGATAAAGTCCCTCGATTTGACCCACGAAGAAGATTCTTTATGTAGCGCCTTATCTTATTGTGTTCGAGATTCACACAAAAGATCCTATTGGTAAGCCTTTCTTTAAAAAAAATCAAAGTTATGCGTTTGTTACATATTTAAACAATGTATTTTAATTTGTGCAAACAAAAAAAAACTACTATTATATTTGCCCAATTCTGTTAGTTAGTTCGCTTAGCTATTTATTAAAACAGGGAAATCTCTTTTTGAATCTGTCCGAAAACGGTCATCCCTGAGTATGAACAACTAATATCCGGTTTAGGGTTTCGTAAACGAAAGGCAAAAAACGGAACCCAATTATGGACATGTTCGTGTGTTCTCATATTTTGATAAATGTACTCTGATATTTCACTATTGATACCAGATTGACAAGAATGAGATTGCGGATCATTTTTGAATGTTATTAATTGATTCATGATACAATATCAAAATCGAAATTATCGATTGAAATTACAATAAACTAAAAAGTAAAGGAAAGCGCAGTTGAATTTAAAAATGATCTACCGGTCAGAATGATCTGCAAATAAATGACTTTGAATTTGCGGCAAAAATTGCTGAATTATACACTTCTAAAATGTTCGAAATTGGACCTTTTGACGTAAATAACGTGCATTTTTTTGTAAAATAATAATTATAGAGGCTAGAAGACACTTTCAACAAGGGTTACGGGAATAATTTTGGTAGCACGCTGCTTAGAATTGAGCAACATAAAACTAATAGATTTATTTATGCTTTGACTTTCAACTTCACAGTGTGTTGTCCGCTTTTAATATTGAGAATATTATAAAATATAAATATAAATAAATAGTATATGAGAAATTTGGATAGATACAAGAATTATAAATAATGATTGTTTTAGGTGCTCTTATGTATTAATGTACTTAAAAATTTGCGGATCGACCCGATCTGAGTCAAATAAAATTATCGATTTATAGAAATTTACGGAGAAGCTAGATGTTTAATGTATTTTGATAATGTTTTTATTTGAGAAACGCTGTAATACTACATATTTGCGCCGAAAAACCAAAAGTTGGCTTGTTCAATATTTACCTAGGTTTTCAATCGTAGTAAGCATTTTCTACCCGTGTCCACTTTAATCTGCCACGCACAATCTCCTGGGATGAAATGTCTGTGATGCGAATTGAAGTAGCGTGGATTATTTTTTCGAAAAAAACGAATAAAATGTGATATTTTTATCTTTTGGTATTTGAAAATAGAAATTTTAGTGTAGTAGTGAAAAGCGAAATCTATACATATAAATAAAATTGGAGTGTCTGTTTGTAATATTGAAATAACCGCTTTTTACTACACGCGAATAAATATACGGTACGTACACCAAAATAACATTTTTTACAATTTTTGTCTGTCTGTCTGTTTGTTCCGGCTAATCTCTGGAACGGCTGAACCGATTTTGACGAAAATTTCACTGATAGGTAGCTGATCATATAAGGAGTAACTTATGCTAATTTTTTTAGACTAACTTTGCCCCGCGGCTTTACCCGCGGTACGACAATAACCGCGGGTAACATCGCGGGACTCAGCTATTTTAATAATAAAATTTAATGTTTCCGAAGCGAAGCGAGGAGGGTCGCTAGTTTTAATAATAAAATGAAAATCGTACAACGAAAAACGGATGAGGTAAAAGAGATACCAAAAGAAGAAACATTCCCTTCCTATGCCACATTGCAATGGATATATGGAGATATATCGTTGACGCCAGGCAGACGGCCGATCGTAAGACTCATGCTAAATTCTTGGGCGTAATAAGAGGACATGCCGCACCGACTCCAGACAATGTAGAATAGCGAGAAGAAGAAGAAGAAGAATAATCTTTTCGTTCCTTGAATAAGTTCTTATAGCCATTTCGAGTTTTAAAAATAAGACTAGCTAGTTACAAAACCGCGTACAAGTCATTTGTACTGAACTTGCAGAATTATTACTCTTTTGTTGATTAAATTCATGTATTTCCTTTTATGTATGCTTTATATGACATAAAAAAATGTGAGACATCATATTTAACAACAAAAAAGACCGGACAAATATTGAAAAATTTGGAAACTGTGATTTTATTAATAGAGATATATTAATGTATATTAAATTATTAATAGATATAATATGGGATTGGACGTAAAATTTCAAATGAGATAAACATTATGAAACTACGAGAAATTTCAATTCTCAATTTGTATACTTAAATTCTATACTATGACTTTGGACTTTGAATGTCAAAAGTGAAGTGAAAACCTATTTGTAACGCATAGATAAGGGAGTTTCTTTGATGTTCGAAAACTTTAGAAGTCAGTTTTAAATAATATTATTCCGTAGTAAAATAACAATGGCCGTATGTAATACGCTATTCATAATTTAAACATATTTTATTCATACAAAATTAATTTATTATGCAGCGGAATGCTTCGAATGTGTGACTTAAATATAAATATTTATTTGTTTCCTACGTGGTATTTTATTAATTCAAATAAGCCTTTCAATGATTTTATCTGATAAACCAACTTAGCGTGGCACTCTTTTCAGAAGCCGGGAGCTTTCCAAGCGTGTTTTTAATTAAAACTTTACGTCCAAAAGTTCTCGTACAATCTTTTTATTTCTAAGGTTTGCTTTTGTCAACTTTTTAAAGAAGGCCCTTAACACAAATAATTTTATTATTATTCTAACGAAAACATGTAAACACCTATTTCTAGAACAGGACTTACTTAGTACATAAGAAATCTCTGGATAATTATGCATCCTGCACTCGTTATCCATAAAAGTGACGACAATGCCCATGACCTGGGAAGCGATTTCCCGGCTTTATGAGTGTCGGGTAGCAGTGACTACGTGACCGAGAAGCACGGACTTGCGTGACTACGTGAGCCCATCGTCTCACAAAATAGGCATAAAACCGACGAATTTACGCCTTTCTCCACTGTTGCTCCTATTAACATAAAAGCGAGCATGTTAATGTAGTGCGGAAATTTTAAGCGGTTTTTGGAACAGTCATGTTGTTCATAAACAACAAAAAAAACTATTATTTAACCACTTTATGATTACAAAAAAAGAAAATTAACAACATATTATCTTTAAAAAATTACAATAACTCTGTCTTGCAGTTTCTAATGAGAAAAGTTTTGATATTTAGTAAATTAATCGAAGTTTTTAGGGTCCGGTGCGGGTGTGAATAACCATGGGTCCCATTAATCTCAATTTCCGCTTATCTGTCTCGCCATGATTTCGAGTAGTTTTGTTTTATGAATAATTTGATTAACCGTTTTTATGAATAAATAATTATTCTTATTAATTATCTGGTGCGGAATCATTAACCTTCGTGTATTCTAAGATTTCTAAGTTTATCCGGGAAGTAGTCATACTCGATGTTTGAATAAATAAATAAATAAAAACATCCAATAATTAGTACAGCAAATAATTTTAAATTTACTTTAATTAAAAACCTATTGAACCATTTGCGATTATTTTAAAATATACATTTCTGTTGAGAGCCGATTTCTTATCTAATAAAAACATTAAAAAGAGAGAAAAATTAATAAGAGTTCTAGCTACTTTAATACCTGCATAAATTTTCGTACCTTTAAATAGCCCTCGTCAAAGTAAACTTACAGAGCACTGGCTTGACATCTAAATCACGACTCTCATTATTATAATAATTAGGACTGTAATATTTCACCCCAAAATGTAGGTTCAAACTACGTGAGAAAAAATCGTAATGCGGTGTCAAAAATTGTTTCAGAATTTAAGATATCTCTACTGGGTTCTTTTCTTCCATTTTAACTAAAAAAAAAACTTCATATTCATCTTTTAAAATAACTACAAAAACCGCATCAGCATTCACGGTAGCAAATGCAAAATATTAGGTGGGAAGTAAAGCAATTTAAATATACTACTAAGAATTGTTGTATGTAAGTAGTAGCAGTAAGTCGACGAGGCCGTATATCTGTATATCCGTATTTTCTGATTAATTCCTCCGCTTAGCAATGACGATCAGTATTGGGTTTCTATTAATACCTCGATTGACATAGACGATGTAATCGTAGTTAAATGGTCCGTTACATACATTCATCAATACAGAGCTGTCACGGCTATTATCAATAACTACCTCGAGTTAATATCATGCAATTTGGAGTAACACTTAACATTGTCTAGTTAATTGATTATTATTTGAATAAATGTGTATTTTTCGGCGACTGATATAATCTCAAAGGAGTTTTTTTTTACCCTGTGGTCTGTATGATAAATAGAAATATTACTTTTGTTCTAAATTGTCTAATGAACTAACGTAATACTGTCCCTTAAATGTACAAATAACTAAGAAGTGGCGGTATTCTTTCACTGTGCTCTAAATCTATGCAATTTGGATTAACACTTAACATTGTCTAGTTAATTGATTATCATTTGAATAAATGTGTATTTTTCGGCGACTGATATTATCTCAAGGGAGTTTTTTTTACTTTGTGGTTGGTATGATAAATAGGAATATTATTGTCGTTCTAAATTGTCTAATGGATAACTAAGAAGTGGCGGTATTCTTTCACTGTTTTATAAATCTACAGCCATAGCACAAATTTATTAGTGAACTGAGCTATATCTTGTATGTCTCAGGAACGAGCGATTGCCTTTTAAGCGTCCTCTCGAAGGCTTACCAGAAACTCCAAAGCCATGTATTGTGACTCATGCCGCCATAGAAGAAGAGGGTAGAAGAATTGCAAGCGAGTTTCCAATTTCAGTTATGCTCATCGGTACAATATATCTCAATCCACTGGCACAATGAAATGGTCTGCTCATTGCATTGCCTTCTCGTCACTTACCCGCACGAGAGATTGATCTTTGTCATTAGGAGCTACTACGAGATGAAGGTAATCTCTCAACCAATTCTCTATAAGGATCGGGGTCCGTACCTACCACATTTCAGAGCGCGCTATTACAAAACCATATTTACAAAATTATAATCTCATCAAAACAAAAAAGAAAAAACAGTTGCTTTCAATGGCTCTGTAGATCGTATTTTTGCTATGCTAGTTTTATTTGCATGAGCGAACGTGGCATGAATACGGACTTAAATACCCGTGTATCCTTTCTTTGAACGCTACATATATTGATGGTCGAATGTGCGGTCTTATCGAGTATAAAAATAGCTGTTACAATTGATTTTTTTAGTGATCTTTTTTCGATTACCCAGTAACAATTATTTTTGTTTTTTTTTGCTACTCCAGATCTGGTGTTAAGTACAGTGTAGTTAATGGACCTTATAAACATTACACTGAATTCCGTCATCCACCATAGGAGATGAGATCGAAGTCTCAATTTTATTCAATAATGACTATCCCACCCTTCAGATTCGAACACATTCTTCGCGGCAGAAAGAGGCAGGATGATGGTACCTACCAGTGCGGGCTTATAATGCGCCCTACCTTTTCCCAAAATGTTTGTTTGATAATAAAAAAGCTAAAGAAAAAAATGCTTTTTTAAATTGATAAAAGCTAAAAGATAAATCTCGTAAATAGCAATTAAAAAATTTCAATCGATTCACGAGCAAAAAACAAATTGGCACTTATCTGTTTTATCCTCGGTTAAATATATTTAGATAAAATAATAACCATAACTTAAAAAACAAGTGCTGAATTTGTTTCGTAGTTTCTTCTCAAGTCTTGCGATATTTGGAATCGAAGACATTAATAAAACGATCTAATTACTATTACTAATCATAATTCCAGCGTATTCTCTATCATCCATTAAAAACAAACATAGAAATGAGTAAAAATGAAAAACTATTTCTATTACATTCAAAAATCGATTAAGCGATTAAAACTTTAACATAATTAAGACAATAATTAAGAGGACATGCGGGTGCCGCGGAATTGCTTTTTTTTTAAATATATTGCTTTCCCTCCCTCATACCTCCCCGAATAGAGCCGAAAGAAGAACGGACAGAAAAACTGCGTAAAAAGTCGCAAACAACGTTTCGTATTCCCTCTTGTTCCTCCTCCGAAACTGAGCCGACGTCAATATTTTTTTAACAATAACTGACTATCCTTGCTTAGCCGTCTTTTAATATGATCCACTGAAGATGTATGTGATGGGATATATCGGTACCTTTGCGTATTTTTAGAAGGTTCCTCAATCTTGTAACGGTTCTTGAAAAATAACAGAGCAAAGCTTGATGGTGGCGGTGATAGAATGCGATGTCAAAACAATCTTTGATTTATCAATTAAAACAGCAGAAAATATTCCCTTGTACTTTCTATATGAATATGAAACTTATACAGATACTCCTCAACGTAAAGGTACAAACTGTGTTGATTTACTACATTTTTATTACACAATTGAGTAATTTGGGGTTATATATTTGTTTGGTCACAAGAAGCTTCGTAAAACCATCTTGTAAAAAACAAAAAATGTGGTACGAACACTTTATTTAATAACAAATATTTAGTGTCCTTGATTAAGACGATAACAATTTATATTTCGGAATTTTGTGTAATGGATGCCTCTTATTCGTGTCAAAATGCCTTTTGTTATCTGTGGGTTATTTTTCAGGGGTTTGGATTCCACTGAAAAAGCGAGGCACATATTTCACAAGGCTCTAATCTCGTTCCTAGTTCACAGGCTTTGAGGTCTCTTCCACACTTTGCTAATTCGTTGACATTTATTAAACGTTGTGTTGTATTGGTATTAAAGTATATACATATAATATATCAAGTAATAGCTGTAGTTCATTTGAATCCTTAAACGCTTTCGCTTTATGTTATATGGTATTATAAATTTAATAAATTACTTTCTATTGCCTAAACGGGTGAACGAACTCGCCGCTTACCCTATGTTAAGAGGTTATCAAAAACCATGCATACATCACAATGTGAATGCTACTACCTATCTTGAAGGATGAGTCTAAGTTTCGATTTTAAAATACAAGAGTAGTCCAATTCTTTCAAAATTATCCTCATGATTGTCTTAGAGTAAAAATAAGCTGGTTGGTGGAACCTACTCGTGCGGACTTATTATATAGCCTACCACCAGAAATAACCACGATTTCGGGAAGTTCACTAGTGTATTGTGTTGTTAAGACTTTATTGTTAGAACTTTACGATTAATAGCAACATTGTATGTTGTCGTAAACCAAAAGCAATTCTTGAACAGATTGATACGTATTTGTGTTAGTCGGTTCTGTAACGTAGGGAGAGGGTAGTGAACACTTATGTAATCGCATTCACCGAATAATAACAATGTCTTTGTTTCTGCTTCGAGTTTCCGGCACGTGTATTGACATCTAAAGGTCATCTAAAGCAATAGAAAAACTAAATTAATTTTAAATTACTCGTCGTTAAATTAGTAAAATGGAGTGGGAAAACCGCGAATTATTAAAAAAAAAAATCGGGAAACCTTCGCGTTTAGTTGATACCATCATGAACTTTTATTAACGATAGGTTCTCTTTGTTACAGGAAAATACAGCAGTTCCTATTATTGGCATGGATGTCATCTTTGGTCGTATATAATACGGAGGCCGCAGGGACAATCTGCCCTGATGAATGTACTTGTACTATGACATTTGATCTCGAAGAAGGCCATACAACGCAAGTGGCTTGTCAGCATGGACACATGAGGATAATCCCGGTCGACTACATGGACCGTGACGTGCATGTTGTTATTATAGCCGCTCCTCCGGATCGACCTAACTTTTTAACCATTGGACCCATATTTACTCAACCAGCCCCATTTGTAAACCTTCGCGAACTTCACATTGTTAATTCCAATGTACCGTCGATTGGGCAATTTTCCTTTTGGGGCCTGCAAAATTTAAGAGTTTTAAATTTGACACACAACAACCTTACGAGTGTAGTAGCTGATAATTTTAGAGGTCTCATAAATCTTACTGAACTTCATCTCGATCATAATCATATCGAACAGATGTCAAGCGAGACTTTCAGACACCTGACCTCATTAAAAACTCTAATATTGGCCAATAATCAAATATCGACACTCGTGTCGAGGTTGTTTAGAATGCTGGCGAAGTTGTCTATTTTGGATTTGAGTGACAACCCATTAACTGACTTGAACCCTGAAGTTTTTAAAGATATTCAACACTTGCGAATATTTAAATGTAGAAGATGTTTACTGAGACGCATAAACACACAAATTTATCATTTAGTACCTAGACTCGAGGAATTGGATTTGGGTGAAAATTTATTTAAATACTTAACATCAGATGAATTCATAAGCTTGAAGCGATTAAAAAAATTAAAATTGGACGGGAATCAATTGTCAGTAATCGTGGACAACATGTTTGGACGGAACCGGGAACTCCACGTACTAACATTATCACGCAACCGTCTAGCCCTCTTGGCGCCATTGGCCCTCACTAATCTAACCGCCCTCACACATTTGGATATAAGTCATAACAAAATTGACAGGTTCCATTTGCAAACTTTCGCTCCGGTTGTGGACTCCTTAAAAACAATAAATTTCAGTGGAAATAATTTACCACTAAACGAAATTGCTATCGTATTACAAATACTACCAGAGATTCATGGAGTAGGCTTAGCCAACTTGTCACTGCAAGAAATACCTCAAAATTTCTTTACATACAACGAGCATCTCGTGGCTTTGGACTTATCTTGGAATAAATTATCCAGGTTTCCCTTCAAACTTCTATCTAAGACAAAGTTTTTACAGCGATTAGATATATCGCACAACAAGTTACAAACCTTAAGCGAACAGGATTTGCAAAGATTGGAAGCTATAGCTGAAGTAAACTTAATGAAAAATAATTGGCATTGCGATCAATGTTCGGCGAGTAATATGCTTTTGTACATGACCACAACAGTCCTTAACAGTACAATACGAGTCCTCAAATGCCACTCCCCGTTAAGATTGCGAGGCGCAACTTTTGGTAGTCTGAGTTTTGAGCAATTGGATCCATGTCCGACGACACATGAAGCACAAATGAGTGTCATTGCGGGATTAATGCTGTTATGTGTAGCTGTCCTCTCAGCAGTAGCTGCGGCGCTTTGCTGTACACGACGTCGCGCCGCCCAATACTATACCAATGAAGAAAAGCGTAGAGAACACGATCATGAACATCCAGAAGAACTGCTTGGACATACGGAACTTGGCAGCGTCGCTACTATCCACGCGCCGTACCAACTCGTCTCTAAGGACAGCTAACAACGCGCCTTGTCGCCGCCGGCGTCGCAACCAGATTTGCATGAGTTGCTCGATCCCCCTGCTCCGTTCGCCTCAGCTTCGTCTCCGACTTTTGAATCGACATCGCTGCACTATTTATCTACGCGTATTGAACCACCGACTCTTTTTAATGATATGAACGATATTTGATACGAGTATGAAGACGATCTTGTGTAAAGCCAAACGATGGAACTTTACAAGGTATTGAAGACAGTTGTATGAACTTTTCAGTAAATTTTTATGACTAGCTAGTTGTACGAGCGGATTTTAATTGTTTACGTAGAAAATAAATATTGAAAAGTATTTTTCTACACGTAGGTTTTATGTACTATATATATATACGCGCAACGTTATTTACCTGAAACAGGTGTTTAGAGTTAGGAAACTTTCAGGAATATTAATTGAAGTTACTGAGTAATATCAGTGTATTCAAATAACTTCAATGTTTGTAATTTAGTTTATGTATTAGCGCGTAAAATTTCCTTTGGCATCCTATAGCTATAATTGGTAGATCTATCTATAGTATGTATTTAATCTTAAGCATAGGCACACAGCGACATCATTTAACTTTATTTTTAAGTCTACGATATAGATCATAATTAATGGATGAATTTTGTAGTTTATAGGAGTATTCACTTTAGTGTTATGTCATCGGGTGAAACATAATAATATAGATTTGGGTATATGACCTGAGAGTCGAAATTATGAAGACATGTTATTTTTTTTTTCAAAATCATTTATGATTAAAGGCATCGTGCCAAATATACCTACTGTATAATAAATATAATTGTGTAATATGAATTTATTACATCATTCTTTTGTGGCATTTTTGTAATTAGATGTAAGATGTATATTTAGTTTTACTGTCGATAATGAATTGAAATGTATTAAATGATAAGTAACTTTTAATACTCGTTTTTAGCAGTAAACATTATTAATATCTTTATAATTAATTATTCGAGATCCTTTGTACATATTGATAATATACGAAGGAAACCAATTATATCTTCGATGAAACTACAATAATCATCGGTATTTATTATACCTTTCGTATTTATTTATTAACCACGAATCCTGTGCGTGTATTATAATTTACAGTATTATATTATATAAAACAGTATTGTAATATACAAATACATTTCTAATTCATATCTTGAACTCTTAACATGAACAGCTACTAACAAGTCAAGTCAAGTTCGTTAGAAAGGATTATAACAAAAATATTTTCTCATGTAGGTGACCCCGTAAAACTTTAATGTTGAAAAAACAAAAGTTTAAATTGAAAAACTTGTTATTGTGAACCTTAATAATATTTAGAGATTGTGTTTTCTTGGTGGAATTCCCCAATTAGTGAATTTTATTTTGTAGATCAAGTGAATTAAGAACGGTCAAAAATTTATGTACTTACATTTAATAGTACGGTTTTTTAAATTACATTTTCACTAAGACATATGAAACAGCTTTAGTTTCAATGGCTTCGTGTAGATCGGCGTACTACCATTATTATAAAAAGTATAAAGATAATAATTCTGCACTAAATGTTGTAATATGTAGCACAATATTCGAATACAATTGAAAGTTTATAATACTTATTGATGGTTCGTGTTTTATTATGTGTAGTAGTTGTGGTATCGGGTATATGTTCGATTATTATTAAATATTTATTTAAAAAGTTCGTAGCAATTCAATGAAATTGCACTGTAAGATGAACACCAATTAAGTAGCACTAGTCTGTAAGAAAATGGATTGAGTGTCCAACATAAACACTAAATATAGAACAATAAGATAATAAATATATTTTCGTCAAATAAATAAGTGTGTAACAGCTTTTTCAATGAAAATTTAACACATTTCGTTTTTACGGTCTGTCGTAAATTTTCGTTTTGCGTTGTTTTTAAATTGTTTAGGTTCTGATAAAATTTTCCTTTTCTTTTTCTAGCTAGTAAATTTCGGTAAAATATAATTTTTTGTGTGCTTTACAAATATTTATTTTAAATATTTACCCATAGGTCGTATTCTAAAGTGACATAGAAGCTAACGAGTGGAGTAAATTCTATCAGCATTTCGCATTTCAGAATCTTATAATTCAACTTTATGATAATTTGTGAACAAATTTATGATAATTTAATCGTTGGAACGAATCGTAATAGCAATCTCTTTTACTGTACTGGTACGCCGTGTAATGTTTTATTTTTATAAGATAGCAGAGGACGTTTGGTTTATTATTGTTAGCTTCCATGAATTTGGGCCTAGATAATAAGAGAAATGTGTAGATTTTAGGTCATCTAATCATTGCAAACAAAATATGCTATAAATGTCGTATGTATTCACAACCAAAAAATTTTGAGGTTTACCGTAGGAATTAAAACTAGGTTAGAAGCTCCCAAAAAACAAAACATAAAACACAAAAAAAAAACACGAAATTTCCGTTATTAATCGACTAAACAATAAAATTCTTTGTAAATATTTATTTACTTTCAAATTAATAATTCATTTTAAAGGTTGTATAAATATTTTTGTAATGTATCGAAATGTGCACATAAAGAATGAGAAGTTTAAAACTTAAATATAACTGATGTGCTTAGGGATAACATAACAAAACATATCTTTTTTGCTTTGTGTACGATGTTAAAGCACTCAGTGGTATATATATAAATGTTTACGAGGTGTTGTAATTTTTCAAATATCAGTGTACAGTAATATTTACATGTTTGATATGACTTATTGTGATAAGTTTCATGTATAAATAATCTATCATTAATAACCTAAAACCGTTTCTTATTACATACACGGTTGGCTAAGGCTATTTTCTTAAAACCGTATCTATACAGTAGCAATAGAACTTTAGCAAAATTTTCCGGTAAAATTATAAAAAAACCTATAAAAAATATTGATAATTTTAAGCAAACCACTGTTCGTGTTTGATGTTTCAATAACGTATGCAATAAGACAGTATTTATTCAAATAATATTCTTAATCAGTAATAAACATCTAATCTGTGTAATGTATTCAGTTAAGATGTAGTTTGAATAATAGATTTTCGCACGTGCGTATATTAACTGTACCAAAAAATTGCACACTTGATGTAACTTAAACATGTATAATATATTAATGGAAACCAAATTGTCTATAAAGTACTTTAAAAAGAATAATTCAAATATACCACGTGTTTAAAAATGTGAATCAATAATAATTATTATTTACCACTACATTTTTGTCGTCAAATCAAATGGATGTTGGAATGGAATTATACATCTTAAATCTTTAGTAACGTTAAAAATCCTGTGATTTGGAAAATCGATTAAAAAGTAGGTATTCATTACATCTTAAACTAAAATTGAATTTTTTATTTGCCCTTAAGCGCTTCTTGAAGATTTGCGTTGGGAGTAAATGAGTTAATTTTCTTACATTGTTTTTCAAAGCACTCACTATTCTTTTTTAATAAAAATTCAACGATAAATACGTAACCACGATAACAACCAAAAAAATGTTGAAGGCTTGGAATGTAATTTACAAGCCTATTTGTATCAAATATATTATGTTTAACTTGGAGACGATTTATTTTGCAACTGGACTTTTTTTTACCAACTACAGTCGATATCGATGTAGGTGATTGATCAGCTTTGATATTGAGAAGTTTAATAGTTATCTCAAAGAGATCGCATTAAAGTAAAACACCTTGTAGTATTTATTTCCAAAAGTATTTTGGTGCGCATCACTGGTGCGCTTCACCGCGCATCTGCTCAAGACGAATGCTATTTATTAGCTTAAGAGATATTTCTATTTGATCATAGAACAGTATATTCCGATGCTTGTTTTGATCAATAATTAAATAGACACAAAATCAAAATGAAATAATCAAAGAAAGCCACGAAACACTTTCAGACCCAAACGCTCTATAGAATTGAGAAATAATAAATCTGAATTTTACTGAAACTGCTAACAGAGAATACCTTTGCCTTGTCCTTTAGATGCCTACAGTAAAAAATAATTCAAATCACAGTATTCAAATTATCCACATTAATAGATTAATCTATTCTAATTTAGAAATAATACAATAACTATGTACGTAATTTTGTAAAAAAATATTTAATTTTTCTTTTAATTTCTTTCAAGCGTTCTAGTTATTTTTTAAAGCATATTAAAATCACAAATAATAACGCAGTAAATTATAAATGAATTATAATAATACAATGAATCAAATTTGTGATAATAGAAGCAGCAAAACAATCTGTAATTTTTCCGTGTTCGTTGCTCAAGCTTACTTGTAAATTCGTATGTTTTGCTGCCATAGATTTGTGTTCCTTACTGATAAAATCAATCTCCTTGAATCTAGACAAGGGTGAAACTAAAATTGGACACTTTATGTGCTTAAACAAAAGGTATATGCGAACATAGTTATTTGTACTTTGTGACCATACTGTGTTTTATTACGAAATTATTAGATTAACATAACGTAGTATTGAAGAAAAAAGTATCCATACCCATACTTTACTTGTACTGTAAAATAATTTTATTTACGGAAGTTTTACGATTTTTGTTTCATTCAAAACCTAATAACTGTATTGTTTCTAAATTAGTAGGTATTTAAATGATTGAATTTATTGTAATTATCTGTCTTTATATGTTGGTCAATAAAGTTATTTTATCCTAGCTGGCGTTTTTTTTAAATTGGCGGATATGTCTCATGCTTTTTTCACTCATGCGTTCATGCGTTGTGTTTAACGGTATATATATATATATATATATATATATATATTGTAGGTATGTATTTTCTTAAATAATGTGTTGTTAATAGTAATGTCTCCAGAATTTCAGGTAATTAAACGGTTGTTCGGAAGAGATCGCTTTTAGCGATAAGACCGCCTATTGTACAAACATATCTGCTTGTTGACTGTTTTCTGATGTTTATTGTGTTTTGGTGTGCAATAAAGTATGCTCTCTCTCTCTCTCTCTCTCTCTCTCTCTCACTCTTTGTTCCTCATTTACTGGAAGCCCAAAATGCGACATTGTTTATATCGCCATCCGCCTTCCATAGTACTGTAGACACTCGACTTTTTCAAAATAGAAAACAGTATTGCTTCGCATCACAGTTTGAAGCGGTACTTTAGGCAGCATTCGAGAAGGAACTTAAGGCAGTAGATCGGATCGTAGTTCGGGGTCTCCTTCTCCTGCTTGGTCCTTCACTCTTGATAGAGTGTTCGTCATTGATGACGCTTTGTTTCATTGTGTAAAAGAGATCTCGCGATGGGCTTCCTTTTGTTGCGGTCTTTGCATATTATATACCAGTCAGGAGCTACAGTACTACTACTAATTGAAATCTAATGAAAATAGAAATTGATTTCTTAGAAATATCGGCAATGAGACAAGCACAATCACGTGTAACTTCCAAAAGGAATTTTGAATGTGTGATTGATTGAATACTTGGATTTTTGTTAAATACGAACAATGCTCAGTGAATGTGTCCTTAAATGATAATAGGTGCCCTTTTAATATTAATAAAAACATACTAAAATTCAATATACATAATAATATATGTATCTATGTAATATACGCATGTTAATATCTTACGGATTCTAACTTAAGAAAAAACTACAATAAGATTATGATAAAATAATTTTTACGTAAACGGTAAATTGATAAATCCATAACGTTAATATGATCCGGGTAATATGCCGAAAGCAATGAGAATGCAATAAAAGCTAACCGATATGAGTCGATGCTTTAATGTGATGAAGCGCGTCACGTCGCGAGCTATTAGCATAACGAGCAACTAACGACTCACACATGACGATATCTCATGCAGCTACGCAGTTGGTACACAGCTCTCGAATACCTGGATGTGACATTCTATTCAATTAACCGTTTTATTTATTAAACAAATATATAATTACTATGTTTTCCCCTGTACCTTCTATAAATGATACCACATTGAACTGTCATTATATAGTTGTCATAAAACGAAAATAATATAATTTTGCTCTTAATTTTACTCAGCAATTACAAAAATTCTAGCACTCGAATAACAACAACGATAAAGCACAAAGAAGGCGCTGGCTAGAAGAAACGCCTCATTTTGCAAATTGTTAATTAGCATGATCATTAAGTGACGACGGTGCAACGTAGAAAATAGGTAAGAATCTTTTCATTCGAACATTTCAAATTTAAAGTAACACGAAAGTGTATACAAGATTATGTTGTACATACATAAATACATAAACTGCTTATTTATTTTGGTACTATTGAGCATAGATAAACAGGTTTCGATTGAACAACAAAACTTTTGAAAGCAAAACCTTTTTTGGAATTATGTTTCCTTTCATAAAGTGACATTTTGTTTATTATTAAAAAAAGGTATTTTATTTCGGTTCGAGTAAGAGACGAAAATAATGTCTCTCGTACAGTGTATATGTACATTAACAAAAAGACGAAACGTGTTTTTTGTTATTTCTTATTTTCGTCACAAATCGGATATTCGTAATCCTGGTGAGAACCGCCGTCCCAGTTCGAATTTCCCCCCTCACCCTGCACAATCTTGTGCGCAAGGACCTCAGCGTCCCCCATTTTACTGCTGTCCGCGTACTAAATACGATGTACAATATACGTACATAAACGACCAGTCGCCATCGACGACAATGAGAGACATCTTTGATCGGGCCTCGCAAACTTTGTTTTGGACAGAAATAGTCCGAGGTTGGTACTTTGGTTTTTATTACGGTTCACAAAACTGCAATACAATCCGAACGCTTTGTCGAAATACGCCGTTGTAGCTAAATCCCTATATGCCTCAGTTGTCTCTTCTGATTAGATCCTTTCAAAAGCGGTTCATCTGAGCCTCAGTACGAGTATGACTACACACGCACACACAAACAATGTTATTCTCGCAGACTACGCTAATACTTGTTTTAGGGTGTCCACATAATTTCATTATAATAATATTTACTTTTCCCCATCAATTTCAATGTGATCTAATTTAAAAAAAATACTTAAATTGATTACTTCCTAAATTTTTTTACTTTACTTACTAATTTTATTAATTTTGCATTATCAACAATTAATTAAATTGACTGCATATATTTATCATGATATTGAGTAACACAGCTTCGGGTGAACGAGTGACTTGTGTCGTTCATAACTCAGTTTTATGTCTTCATATTTCTTTTCACTAAACGAAACCAACCTAAAAACTTTCGGTACTCGTTACGGACCTTTATGGAACTTATTCGCTGGTAATACGAAACATGAAACGGTGAATTTACTAGTACTTCGGGAGTACAAAATTTAGGAACGTCTTGCGTTATATTTATTTTTAAATGATAATTTGCAGGTTTTGCCGTAACTTTAGGACATTTGTTCAAAGAGCCAGCAACAATCAATTACCCTTTTGAGAAAGGTCCTCTTTCTCCAAGATTTAGGGGAGAACATGCCTTACGAAGGTATCCCTCCGGCGAGGAGAGATGCATTGCTTGCAAGCTTTGCGAGGCGATTTGTCCTGCTCAAGCCATAACCATTGAGGCGGAAGAAAGATGTGACGGTTCCCGGAGAGCAACAAGATACGATATAGACATGACTAAATGCATATTTTGTGGATATTGCCAGGAAGCATGTCCTGTTGATGCAATAGTCGAAGGACCAAATTTCGAGTATTGTACTGAAACCCACGAAGAGCTTCTATATAACAAAGAAAAACTGTTATCAAACGGTGATAGGTGGGAGCCAGAGATCGCAAGTAACATCAGAGATAATCATTTATATCGTTAATTGTTAATTCGATGAAAGGCTTTGGAAAGGATCGAGGTTAATTCGTTGAAAGGCTTAAAATATTTTCATTCGATTAAAATCATATAAGTATCCGAAGTATGTTTAACCAATTAGATTTTACTGTCCTTGGTATAGCTCGACATGACTAAAAGTAATAATTCGGAAGCCTTGAACTGAATTGAATTGCCGAAATGATCTGTAAATATCTTTCGAGGTCGAATACATTTACGATCTAACATTTGTTTTACTTGTCGAAGCGGTTACGCGAAAGAAAGTTGAATTAATGTAATGATTCTGAAATACGTTGTAAAGAGAATAATGAAGATACATTTTTTGAAGTGAAAACTTCTTTAGAATCGTTGTGATTTCAAACCGGATGCAACGGAAAAAACGACAGGTAAGAGACACAAATACAAAAATGTGTAGGATGAAGCCAGCAAAGAATGAGACAGAAATATACATATTATTTAATACAGCGCCATCTGTGAGATTTTTTAGTACTAACGTGTGTATGAAAGCTCTTGTAGTGAATTTTAATTTAGGATTATACGTGAAATTAAAATATCAATTCACAGAGGGCGCTACCTTACAATTATTTACTAATGACAAAATTTTACATATACTTAAGACGTTTAGGATAATTGTATTTTAATTTTGGAAGGTTTCACTTCTACCACGTGTGAATTGCACACATTTTGTTTTTTTTTATTACTAATTCATTAATCTCGAACGGATAGACGAGATCTGTGCAATTCTATATAAAGTAACCATCTTTACTTAAGTTTGCATAATAATAATGGAGCGTGTTCGTGCATAATGCTCCATCAATCAACATTAACTCTAAACTTTGTAAAAGAAAACAGAAAATAAAGAATATGTTCTAGATGAAATTCGCCTTTTTTGTTTTTCTATGTAAACCTATTATTTTGGTATAAATGCCAATGTTGTTTTTGTTTTGTACGTATCCACTATTCCACTCGGATTATTCGGAAGGTACTGACAACTGTTTCGAATAATTGACGTTGCGTTTAATATATTGTGTAAAAACTGGTAAAAACATGATAATATTTATATTATATATGAATAATTGACGTTGCGTTTACTATATTGTGTAAAAACTAGTAAAACATGATAATATTTATATTATATATGAATAATTGACGTTGCGTTTACTGTATTGTGTAAAAACTAGTAAAACATGATAATATTTATATTATATATGAATAATTGACGTTGCGTTTACTATATTGTGTAAAAACTAGTAAAAACATGATAATATTTTGGTAATGATGATTGAATTCTTGTTTAATGTTATGTTTTTTTAACTTGTTTAATAAGACCTTATTTACGAATATTTGTATGACAGTAGTCAGGTTTGTTTTTGTGTGCATAGTTATTGTACTACCAAGAGCTTTTAGCTCTACTCGTAAAATAATTTAATAAAAAAATTTACTTATTAATTACACAACATTTTAAAATATACGCATACTGTGCAAAAACATATTGTATGGTTTTTTATAAGGTACAAAAATACGTTTTTATGTCATTAAATTCTCTAATGTAGGTATGGCAAGTAGGTATTAAGAAACTTGAGAAACTTGACACCATCCACAGTCAAAGGTCCTCAAAATCTTGTGAATTTAGAAATACAATTCATGACGTTCCCGAGCCTCTCCTCAATTTATCACAGTAGTTATAATAACGACATTACATTTACATAATATTGGCGCGCTTTGATCATTATCAATTCTCCAGTACGTAGTTATCTATATAAATAAATTCAATGTTTGTGTGTATGTACGTAGGTTTCTCTTCTATGCTTTCCTAAACCTAATACGATGTTGATGAAATTTTGTACAGTTGTTCACACTCCTGGGAAGGTTTCTATTATGTAGTACTATTTGCTGGTGGTAAGTTAGCCTATTCCTAGGATGTGTATTCCGGTCTGAAAGATACCCGGCGTCATAGTGCATAATTGAGATTTAGAACTCTAGTATAAAGATAGATCGTGAGCTCGTGTACCCGAACGAGTGAATAACTACTTATGGAATCACTACATAGTAAAAAACAAAGTCGCATTCTGTGTCCCTATATCCCGATGTATGCTTAAATCATTAAAACTACGCGACGGATTTTGATGCGGTTTTTTTTAATAGACAGAGTGATTGAAGAGGAAGGTTTATATGTATATAATAACATCAATTAAATAGTGGAGAAATCAATAATAAATTACATTTTCCGAAGCGAAGCGAGGGCGGATTGCTAGTTTACATTAAATAGGTGTCGCATGAGTCGTCTTAAAAAAATCAATGTTTTTCAATTATTTAGCGATTCGCACTGAAGGCTTCATTGGCCGGCTCTCCTTGAGATGAGCCGCGCGTCTGGCTGCATGGTTGACCGGCAACTTCTTTACCCTGTTCGGGTTCTGACCTCGGGGGATCGGGCGGCAGGGCAGGGGAGTCGCTTAGTGGGTAGAGCCCTAAATTCCATTCCTTGCGCGCGCGATCCGCTCCCAATATTTGCGAACCGTTCAGTCCCACAAACCCTTCGCGTCTCCTAAGCGCGGGGATCTCCTAGTAGGAGGTTCGGACCACGATGAAAAAAAAAAGTGTGGTGTCGTGGGACACTGGACAGGAACGAAGTTGCTTATTATAAAAATATTAATTTTAAGTTCTATTCGAGGTATAAAGGAAATAATTATTCGAGTATATATTTTAATTGTGATATATTATCGATAAAAAAAAACTACAAAGTTATCAATTTTATTTTATTCATCATGATTTATAAAAAATATATAATAATAATATACCAAGAATCAGCTATGTATATGAATAATAATAATTAAGCCTAATTATGTTCTATCTTAGAAAACCGTCATCACGTAGACTATACATCAGACACTGTATAGCCATCATACTAAGACAATACATAAATAATAAAAATCTTACGTTACGGACTTTTTTCCCAGTTAGGGTACCCCTCCGCATCGTCCCTTAACGAACTTCGTTCCAAAAATACAATAAGCGATAGTCATATGGAATCGTGACTAGGTGAAACCTGGTGTTTAGCTTAGCGCCTCTTTTAGGCACTCGTGCTGTAATAATATATTTTCTTCTAAAAATGTAAAAGCAATTTAAATGTATTAGTTGAAATCATTAATAAATCTAAATGACTATGTTTAGTGACCGATGTTGGAGACATTCGTTTCGTTGTCAGTTCACCGAATTCGAAGAGGATCGAATTAATTGATTATCGAATGCCAATGACTTGATAAGTGGGGGTGTCGCGCCGGTCAGACTATAGATATACTTAGAGGCGTGTGAATTGAAGCAGTATCGAAATGTCCCCATTTTTATGTTAAATTTGGTACTAACGTTCGTGTTTAGTATTAATAAAATACCAAATTAAGGGATAATAATGAATGTCGATATTGAAAGACTGAATTGTGCGAAAGAGCACATGCGGTGAAAAATGCGAATACTTTTTTTTATTGCTTAGATGGGTGCATGAGCTCACAGCCCACCTCGTGCTAAGTGGTTACTGAAGCCAATAGACATCTACAACATAATTGCACCACCCACCTTGGGATATAAGTTCTAAGTTCTCAAGTATAGTTAGTTATAACGGCTGCCCCACCCTTCAAACCGAAACGCATTACTGCGTCACGGCAGAAATAGGCAGAGTGGTGGTGCTGACCTACCTACCCGTGCTGACTCACAAGAAGTCCTACCACCAGTAACCACCAGAACCAGTACTTTGGTTATTTGTGTAAAAAACTAAATTAGTTGATTTGACGTTTGCATTAGTTACTATACCGAATGTCAGTTCGTCTTTGTACAGTCAGTTTTGTACTACCAGAAATAGAATGAAAAAGCTTTTAGAAACTGTACTAAAAGCTGTTGACTGTGTACAGTTATTGCATGGCCCGGTGGACAAGCACCGTCCAGCTGACTGTAATTGGTTGCCAGAGCCTATAGACATCGCAACGTGAATGTAATGACGAGGTCTATGTCACACATTGGACAGTAATTACGCAAACTATACCTTTGTTTTTGTTTTGATTTTATTACACGATATTATTTTATTATCGTGAAAGACATTTTTACTACGCATTTTGTTTAATGCGCGACCTTTATCTTTGTAATTAAATGTTCGTTTTATTTGGTATTAGTATCAACGATTCGATGTTTTTTAATTAAACTTAAATTAAGTTTTCCCGCGTTTGAGTAAATAGCCGAAGAAGTTTTTTGTTATGATATTTTTTCCAAATTTTATACTTTTGAATGCCTCTCATGTAAAGTATCAAATATCAAAAGTATCAAATGCTTAAAGCAAATAGTCTTTCAACTAGCCAAATAATTAAAAAAAAAATCCGCTATATAGAAATTAAATGTCAGTTATTTACATGTCTTATTATCCGGTCTTGTGAGTGGAGTAACTCATTTTTTTGCATAAATTCGTACGTTGTTTTATTACGTCTGTAATGTTTAGATCACTAATAACTTTAACAGATCACAATGAATGTTGGAATCCACCATGAAAGTTCAGGTCGTAATCCTAAATTTATAAACCAGGAGTTTACGTCCTTAAGGCCACAGGCGGTTCAATGTATCTACAGCTCAAACTATTTTGGTAGGTATGTATGTATAATACTATAAGCACCTTTATGATGTATTCGACTCGTTCTAGGCACTAATAGTTCGTCGTCCTAAGTATATGTATACGATCCATTTTAATATTAATAATGCATGAATTGTCGTTTCGAAACGGATAAGGGGCACAAAAAAGGCACTTAGCCATCTATCTATCCTTAAACATAACGACAAAAGATTGACATATTTGAAAATATCCCGGGAAAGAGCTTCTTTGTCATTTTTCCGATTGATGTTCTCTCTGAGGGTGTACCTCAACCTTTTGGTCAACCAACAAATTTAAATTTCGTTTAATAAATACGTAATCAGTTACGTAATACGTAAGTACATATATGTAGTCTACAGAAT